TCTTAATAACTTAGGCTTTTCACTTTTTAACAAAGGAACGTGAACTTTTCTTGAAAGATTATGCTATGAACTTTCATGAAAAGCGTGAAACAACGTGGAATTTTTTCAAAATATGAAAAAATATTTTCAGAAAAACAAACACGCCCTTTGAGAGTGGCACATCCTTATGTTGTTATTCATCCTTCTTTTTCTTAAGAGAAAATTCTAGTGAGAGAACAATGAGAAAGTTGTGAGAAATCTAGGGGGTGTGTGGGAGCCTGGAGACAACTCTATCGGAGAGGTCTCTCCAGGCTTTGCCGCTATCCATGGTTTGAATAGCACCTTTGGTTCGGCCTATTCATGTTTTTTTGCCCAAAAAAGTGGATAATGTTATTCCACCGGAATACCACTCCATGGTTTCGTGATAGGCCAATCTCCGTCGGACTTGAAATGTTTGCAACTCATTCGAGTTAAATAGAAATATTTTGAGGTCCACGAATAAAGACGTCTTCCCAAGTGATTCTACAAATTCCTAGCACTTGTGCGAAACCTATGCCTCTGCAAAACCCTAGTGTCGTATCTCCTTCGCCATTGCATCTGCATGCCATCGATCTCCTTCGCAATTGAGCCTGAGGCCGTCTTCTGCAACGACAAGGTACTCTCTCCCTATGGTTTGTCTCGACTACCAAATGTAAACATGTAATTCTGAATCATGGGAAAGGAAAATGGGGAAATAATAACTTGGTGCGGTTGCCTGTATTTTTCAATCGTTGTAAAGTAAGTAGAGGACTGTATTTTTACATTGCAATTCATGCCTCCCGATCCAGAGTCACACATGGAAATTGTCATAATACTCAATGCATATGCTCAAGAGTCGAGGAAAACAAACTCCTTGTCATAATAATTGTAAAATGTTTGCCCTACAAGAATTTGAGATATTAATTATAAGTTTCAAAATGAAAAAATATATAATTGGATACATTTCCAATGGATTGACGTTAATAGTCTTTGGAATATAAAAAAACTATGCAAAGGATATATTGGAAAGAATAATAATAATAATAAGGAAATCGTCATAGTTGATAAATAATATTGAAGGTTGGAATGAGTGTAAGAAGTTAATTGGTATATCTCAAAATTAAATGTAGGTTAAAAATACAAAAGCTACAATTGAATTTCTATAGATTCACATCTTTCAGGCAATGGACATACGTATTCCATGTTTCTTACTAGGTGCTATCCAAATCGCATACACCCTATCTCAGGGACAGACCAATTCCATGAGAAGCCTATCCCAATGACATGCTTCTCCATGTAACCAAACATGCCCTAAGTAAAGGGAAACTCCATTGCAATTCCATTGGAGTTTGATCTCAAGTCTAGATGAAACCCGAGCTCCATGGAGATATGTTTATTCAAAGAGATCTCCATCAAGTCACCAATTCCATGAGAAGCATATCCCCATGACAGGCTTCTCCAGGTACCCAAAAATGCCCCCAGCGAATGGAAACTCCATTGGAACTCTATTGGAGTTTGATCTCAAGTTTAGATGAAACCCTAGCTCCATGGAGATTTGTTTCATTAAGAGATCTCCATCAAGTCATTTTATAGAATCCTTATGATGTTTGCAAATTCACATTTACAAGAAGCTATGATAATCTATTTCTATCTTGAGATTGATTCTTGAGTTTGAGAATTTGACTCATAGGTGATTGATCTAAAGTTCGAAGAGTGTTTGATTAATACTTTCTTTGAGTTTTATCAGCTGATTTTCTCTGCAATTTTTTGATCCTAAATTAGTCAATAAGATCATCCTTTTGGTAGGTTTAATTGAAAACTTAACAGGGGAAAGCTATCTTAAAGTTTCCCATGTCCTGTCTGTTCATTTCTTACCAAATTGAGATTAATTTCAGCCCTATTTTCCATCATGCCTTTCTCGCATTTGGATCCTAGTTCTTAAGCTCTCTCATATGTTCAAATGTGCCACAAATTTATAGAATGTTTGATGCTTAATTGCTTCTTCCTATGCAGTGCCTCTTCATTTCCTGCCAAATTGAGATTAATTTTAACCCTATTCCCATCATGCTTTTCCCTCATTTTGGATCCTGGTTTTTAAACTCTCTTATATGTTGAAATGTGCCACATAATTATAGAATGTTTGATGCTTAATTGCTTCCCAAATAGATGATGCGAAATTAGCTTATATCTTAATGGCATCCTGGAAGGCTTCCCATGATATGTAGCTACGACTTTGGCTGTAAACCAGGCAAACATGAGCTTGATATATAGCTTGTCATAGTCAAATCAATTATGCACTGATAATGCTTGCTTTTGGTGGAGGAGAAGATTGAATTTGAAGTGTTTGATGAATTTTCAAAGTGATGTATAATTTGACAATGCAATCTGTATGGTGTTGTATTTTTAAGTACTTAAGCATTGTCATGTGTTTAATCAATCTCCTTGTATCTTATATTTGGACTTAGTCAAGGGATAGATTAGAGTTGCAATTTTCATTTTTAGGTATAAGAGAAGCCAATTGTGGGGGCTGAAAATTGTATTTGACTATTTGTTGATGCAAGATTCATGTAATTGAAGTAATTATTGTATTGTATTAAGAAAAAAATCTAAATTATGTCACTTGGACTTGATTTAATATAATTTGATATATGTGGTTCTTTTAAGAGCATTAGAAAGTCTTGTTTGGTGTCTTTGAATCAAGCTAATAACTCTTCGAAAGGTGCGAGGCCTTCCAAGTTTTGATTCAAAACTAACAAAACAAAAAAGGAATAAAAGTAAAATGACAACAATGATCCAACTCTAATACCAATGAAAGATGAACAATGTGATCTAGCCAAGTATATACAGTTAAAAGTTTTTGTACATGCTTTTGTTCATACTACTAGAACACTTATAGGTGTTCAGAAAAACATCTTTAATCTATAAAATTAAAATAAAACTTTAATACAATCTATGATCCTTACTTGCATGTCATTGAAAAAAAAAAAAGGTTTTAACATAATAAAACGATACTATTCACAAGAATGAATCAAGAAACATGAAACCATAAAATACTAGATTACTTTGCCAAGGGTTATCCCTAAGGCATTGTTACACCTCACTCCGAATCTCCTCACTGATGGAATAGGATCGAGGTATTCTCATTTTGTGTCACACAATTGGAGGCCTACAAAAAAATCCTAATTCAATGAGAGTATGGTCAACCCTTAAATATGTGGGGTTGGATTGCCTCTAGGTCACTATTTTGGGCATCACTCCATTGGAGGTCCTATATGACCCATGTGCGCCCCATGCCCCCCGGGCCTCCCCACGGAAGGCTCTATTCCAAATGGACACCCACTCCCAAACACTAAAAGAATTTTTAAAGCCCATTAGTATTTTTAAAATAGCTATGTATTTAAAAAGCCTAAAAAATTATTTTTTAGCTCTCTAAAATATAAAATATAAATAATATTTTAATAATCCATAATTCAAATAAAATATAATTCAATGGGATTTGTATCCATCAAGTTAACAAACATGTGTATTCACTAATGCGCTCCATTTATTCTAGCAGCCGCGAATTACAATCATCTCTTCAAATTGGCACAATTGAACCCATGATCCAAGACCCATTGCAAGAGTTCATGATTGGTCCATCAAAGTCAGGTAAGAAATGAAACGAATACAATTTAAGTCTATGATTAAAGATCCCCCTGAGGACGCCTTGTCCCTTTGGACTTACATACACTATCACAAAGGTGCAAGGCTCATCTCTTAAGGGCATGTACATGCTATATTCCAACGGGGGTTTGCTTTGCACGACAATTATCATATATATATGCTATACGATGGTAATGATGAGGATTTGATCCTTATCCCTCAGGCCCACCAATCGCACGTAACGGTAAGTCCCCTAGCCAACTATCCCCGGCATCTTCCAACTCATGAAGGATAATCCTACAAACTCTCCACGGTTATGCCTCATGCCAAGGTTACAAGGTTTAGATATCAACCTGGATCTAGCTCGTCAAGCCTAGGCGAGTCACGATACCAAATTGCCTCCTTCAGTCCCTCTAAACCGTAATCCCTTGTTCTTGCTAGACCGTACTCCTACTGAAGTTTCACTTTACAATAGTTATAGTTTTACATGCTCTCTTAAGGCCTTTAAATGACAACGAAACCCCAACAGCCGCACACGCAAGGCATTGGTCTAGCTGCCTCCCATGTGTCACACACGCCATACATGTGTCCATTGTATTGAAAAAAAGACTAATGCGATTTTGTTGGGCAATATATTTTTTTATTTTTTTTCTTTTTACCCCTTTTCTTTTCTTTTGGCAAAATTCTTGCTTCAAAACAAATAAAACTAACAAATCCAAGATCTTAAAAACCTTGATACCATTAAACCAATTTTTTTAAAACAAAAATATCCACAATTTTTATGCTTGGGAAGATAAAGACAATATAATTAAATATGATAAGAAACAAAAACAGAGTGTTGGAGATTATCGCAATCGAACTTATTACACCCCACATCGAGTTACCACCATCCGATGGCATAGGATCAATGATCAACTGAGAAAACAAGTTTAGGCCAAGCCACACCAATAGAACATGAACCCTTTTGATCACAAACTCAAACCCTAGGTGAATTCCCTTAGCAACCTAATTTGAGAGAGATGGATTCTCTTTTTGTTAAATCCTAAAACCCTTAGCCATAAATTCATGGTTGAGAGATGGGAGAGAGAAGAACTCCATAGCTTAAACCCTTAGTTTCTTTCACAAAGTGGGAGAGAGAGATCAAAGATGAGAGAGTGGGGCGTGCCCCCCTTTGACTTTTATGAGAGAGATACATTTTCTCAGGAGAGAGATAGAAAGATAAGGTGTAGAGATTTTGGGTAGAGAATCTATTTTTTATAAGCTTTGAACAAGATTAGAGTTTCTTAGGGTTTTCATTGGCTTGCATCTTTTGTGAGATTGAATATGAACTATCGATATTTGATGACTTGTGGGGTGAGAGATTTGAGCCATCCATTCCATATATGGGTCATCAACATTATGGAATATGCTAGAACTTTTATCCTCATTTCTTAAACCATTTTCCCATCAATATAAATGAAATAAAAATAATTTCAAATATAATATTGTGCACACCAAAATAATGCACAAGCCTTCTCATGTTTTCCAAAAATTCATTCAAAGCTTCTTTAAGTCAATACATTTTCAAAACACATAGCAATTTGACCTACAAGCCTAAGTCATTTATCACAAAAAATAGAAAGCTTCTAAATGGGTGGGACGTGCCACCTATGAAAGGATCTCATTGGCCCCACCATCTAGGCCATGATGGGCTCATGTGCACAATGGACCTCCATGTAATTTTAATATTTTTAAAACTCAATAAAATAATATTAGAATTTATTTGAATATTTAAATCAATGTAAAATTAATATTTCTGATTTTATAAATCCAAATTTGATAAATAAAATATCCAGAGATCTAGAAAAATTCAAATAATAATTTTAAAATTATATATATATATATATATATATATATCATAAAACAAACATAATTAAATTCATTAGATGGAAAAAGATCCATATGGTATAGGAATTAAATCAATCAAACACTAGGGTACTCCACCTTCAACTGTGGATTACAGACCACACTTGCATTATCAAACCGACCAAGTGTTTCTTATGACCCACAGTCCATGTAGGGCTTTATTTGTGGGTTATCAAAGTCTGGCCGATGAGTTAAGGGGTCGTAATCTCAGTCCGTAGATTTCAGGTTCTCCTCTAAAGACGGGCCAAGGTCACTTAGACCTGAGGCGACCACAGTTCCCATGGCGCATAAGGATATCTATCGCACATGCATACGCTTCACCCTGAAAGGTAGCTTGCTTTCCTGAAACGGTCTATCAATATGTATGTCGTATGATAATACATGGATGATGATTTAATCTCCGTCTCTAAAGGCCACTAAGGCCACCATCACACACAATGGTCATACAGTCTCTCAGCTAACTTATCCAGACATATTCCGACATCATCAAAGGATGATCCATTAGAACCGTTATCGGTTTATACTCTATGTCTAAGTAACAGGGGTTTTTTCCAACCAACTGGTCTAAACTGTCAAGCATAGTCCGGTATCAGCAAACATCGTTTGTTTAGTATAATCAACGAGTGACCATACTCCTAGTTAAATTTATATTCCACTATATCATTTCATTTTACAAGTATTAATAAGGCTTTTAATGACCATACTAATCAAACATACATGAGAGCCATATTGGGCGTTGGTCCATTACGCATTCACCATGTGGGATTAGTGACTTTGTACGCGTGCATGTGGATTGATCCACATGCTCTGTTGTGAACAAGCGATGGTTCCTCGTACTTACCACCATGGTGTTGGGCGTGCATGATGCTCCCAACATGCATTTGGCACGGGTAAGCCTCGTGTGTCGATAGCGCCCGTGCATGCAACACAGTCCCCAATGTCAATCACATCTGACACACAATAGCCTATGTGCCACAAAAACACTAAAAAAACCAAAAAAAAGGAATTGGAACTCTCTACAAAAGATTGTGATTTAATATAAAAATAGCGGATCAGATAGGTGTCACCTACATTTTTTTTAATCCGATTCCTCTTTTGCAGGTGTGAGTACAATTCCCCTGGCAAGAGAGTTCAATAATCGCAACCTTGGGCCAATTCTTGATTGCTTGAATTGGATGTATGTTTTCAACTTCCCGAGCCTTTTGATGGGTATGCTCCGTGATAACGCTAACCTTTTCTAGAGAGAGAAAACTATTTGTTGGAAAGGTGAGACAAATAAAAGAGGAGAGAGAGAGGGGCACGTGAGGCTCTAAGAAAAAGTCGATTTCTCTACTGTAATCTCTTTATAAGCCCCTCTTTATATAGATGACCCCATATAGATGACCCCCTCGTTCAAGATCCCATCTTTAAAGGATTTATGATTATCTAAAGGGTGCAGTTTGTATAGAGCTGAGGCTCTAAACAATCAAAGTAAACCTACCTTCAAATAGTATGGAGAAATATGGTTTTAATATTGGAAATCTTTGTAATAGCCTTAAAATATATTTTCATCTTTAATTGTAAAATTTAGAACTTAAAAAATATTGTAAATCAAGCAGATCTATGAAATCTTGAAAATCTTGAAAATTGACAGTTCAAAAATGCATTGCAATATGCATTATTTTCAAAACTTGAAATCCATTTTTTTCTCATGTCCATGCATCTTGATGTCGAGATGATCAATTTGAGGATATTTGGGCATCAAAACAACCTCTTCTAATGAAATTTTTAGATGGGCTCCAATTTGATTTTTTAGAGCCTTGGCTCTATATAAACTCTTTAGACAATTCTCTCCGAGAATATTTTTAATTATTCCATTATTCAACAGTATACCCTCTAATCGGATTAGAACTCCCATCTCATCTCTATGCCATGGATGAAATCCCAAATTTCACATAGGTCCATCAACCCAAAACGGGTGAGCTTTCTAGAAAAATAAAAAATTCCTATTATTCAAATTGGTATTTTTAGTCAAATTTCGTAAATATTTTAGCATATTGGGAATGG